CATACAGACCTCTGAAACTGATCCAGTAGTTGGGAAATATATTCAGTTTCCCAGCTTGCTGTGCCCTTCGGGCTCAGAGAGGTCTGGCAACTCTAATTTGTTGCTTCCTATTTAAAGAAGAAGAGTAAAATTTTGGATAAAACAAAAGTTAAATTTATTTCATGATTATCATAGTACTTGTATCGGACTTTAACATGCTACCCTCTGTTTTGTTATTGTGGGCAGGGATCAGAATGGGAAGGAATCAGGAAAGTGTGCTATACTGCAAGTCCAGTGTTTCCTAAGCCTTGGTCATCCTTTTGCCTCTTTCTTATTTTTAGATCCAGCTTGGAAGCACCCTTCTGGGCAAAGTAGCACCGTGGTCTCCACTACATCTGCTCGTCTTCCAGCTACCCCTCGCCGTGGGTTAATCCAAGTCACCACACAAAGAGTTGTGCAACATCCTCAGTTGCCGAAGCCGGATCCCAGCCGGCCTGCCATGCTCCCTGCTTCCAGTCCACCTTGCCCCCGTCTTGGAAGCACCTGCCACCAGCTCTTGCCCAACAAGACCTTTCTGCACTGGGGGGAACTTGAGCAGACCCTGAGTTTTGCCTGGGCACTGCACGTCTACGGGGCTGGAGTCCTTTGTCTCCTGCTAAGCCTGTTGAGCTTGGCATGCCTGGGGGTATCCTTTTCTTTGCACAGGTCACAGCTCCCCTATGTCTTGGCTTCCAGTGGCCTGCTCCTGGTGTTTGGCGTCCTGCGGGCCACGTTCTTCCTGGCTGACCCCTATGGCTCTCTAGGTCGGCTGCCTGCCCGTGCTCTGCGACTGCTATACACTGCCCCTTTCCCTCTGCTGATGAGCACCTTCACGATGCTTCTGCTCCGCCTGGTTCATCAGGCCCGGCTGCAGATCTTGCCCCCCAGATGGCAGAGCTTGCCATTTTGGGCTGCGCTGAGCTCCCTACACAGCATCGTTCTCTTGGGGGCTGACTTGTTGTCCCCTCCCATGCACTCAGCTGTGTCTGTGGGACTCCACACCCTTTCCTGTACTGCCAGTCTCTGTCTCCTGCCAGCCACCGTGTTTGTGTACTGGCTACTGCGGCACAGCCGGGGGATGGAGGGTACCCTGGAGCCAGGCATATGGCGGGAAGCCTGGGTGTTATTGGCAAGCAGTGGGTTGGTTCTGCCATGCTGTGTCCTGCAGTTCTATGGGGTACTGTGGCTCTCAGGGGCATTGGGACAGCCGGACATTTTCACCTGGGGCTGGTGGTTTGTGCAATTCTGGTTCCGGATTGGCGAACTGGCACTCTCCTTTATCCTGGTCTCGCTGGCTTGGCAGGCACTTTGCCAGCATCACGACACCACTGAGCATTCTTGCTGGGCCAAGCTCCTGAGCTACTTCTGCGCCTACCGCAAGGCTGAGGTGCCAGAGTACCCCAACAATTGCTACGACTGGCCTGGCGTGGTCCTGGAGAAGATACCCAGTCACAACCTCAATAATAACTTGATCCGGAACTCCTCAGCTGGTGGGCTACTCTGGGCACTCAAGGACAGCAATGACCTGCGAGCAGGACCCGGGCAAGGTGCTAGCCCCTCTCCCAGGGGTGCGGGCTACAGCCCCAAATGCCCCAATGTGGCTGTGGCAGCAGCAATGGGCCGCTCTTACACCAGCATCTGTTTTGAGCGGGAGTCAGTCCTCTCATTGGCAGACCTGGAGTTCCGCCCACCCTCGCCCATCAACCTGAGCCGCAGCATCGACGAAGCGCTCTTCCGCGAGCACTTGGTGCGCGATTCCATATTCCTGCGCTCTAGCCTGCGTTTCCCGGCACGCCAGGACTCCTGTGCCTCGCTGCGTGGTGACTGCTCCACGCTCTCACATGCAGCCCAGCCCCTGCTGGCCCACCCCCGTCGAAGCAGCGATCCCGATTGCCTGTATAGCTTAGCGCGGACCAGCTCAGTGGGCGATCTCGTCGGCCGAGGCCTGGCCAGTGAGCCCGCCACAGACACATCCCTGGGCAGCTTCTCGCGCACCTCCTTCTCCCGAGCATCCCTGAAAATCAGCTGGAACCCCTGGCGCCATGGGGTGTCCTCTCCCGAAAGCCTGCCCTCAGAGGAGCTGCCCAACCAACAGACCCAGGCGCAGGCAGAGGATCTCCCGCTGGCGCCACCCAGCAGCGCGCCAAACTCCGAACGGGAGGCCCGGAAGAGCTTTCTGGCACTCAGCAAACAAGTGGATTCCCGCAGCCTCTCAAGTGACACTATTGAATTGTAAGATGGGACGGGAGCTAAAAACCTGTCCACTATCAGGAATGAGAAGCTTGGGTATGGGGCTCAGAGCAATTTTATTCCTTTTTTAAAAGCTGAGGAGCTTTCTGCAGCCCCAACCATTTGTGAAATGGACCCACAGAAGGTGCCAAGCCTCCCTTGTAGTGTCCACCACGTAATAATGAGTAAAAGCACACCCTATGCTTGCCGGCCTCTCAGTTTTAAGAGCTGTACTGTAGCAACAGGCAGATCCCCGGAAACTGTGCAGCATGAATGCTGAAGGAAGACATAGTTTGTTTCCGGCATTGAGGCCCGAGAAAGGTGCGCTTGGAGAGAAGGCAGAGTGGGGCAAAGAAGCATTGAGCAAGGGGATGAGGGGTGGGCCTAGGGGAGCTTTGCATGGTGAACACCCCCCCCCCCACCTTAGGACACTATTGCATAAACCAGCGATCCTCAACCTCATCCACTTTTAAGATATAGGTAGTCCTTGACTTACAACAGTTCATTTAGTAACCAAAGTTACAGTGGCACTGAAATAAGTGAGTTATGACCGTTTTTCACACCGCAGCATCTTTGCAGTCATGCGATGAAAATTTGGGCGGTTGGCCACTGGTTCGTATTTATGACGGCTGCAGTATCCCGGGATCACCTGACTCCCCCTTTTGCGACCTTCTTGAAAAGCAAAGTCAACAGGGAAGCCTGACTCACTTAACAACCACGTTCCTAACGTAACCACTGCGGTGATTCGTTTAAACCCCCCGTGGAAGCGGTCAAGAAAGGTTGTAAAATGGGGCAAAACTCACTGGACAAATGTCTTGCTTAACAAACGGCAATTTTGGGCTCGATTGTGGTCATAAATCGAGAACTACCTGTGTTGGCCTGCTAGCTGGAGAATTCTGAGAGTTGAATTTCATGCGTAGAAGATGGTGATAACACAGCAGCAAGGCTGGGAGGGAATTTGACCCCAGTCCGTGTGGTGCCAATGCAGCGGTGATAATCCTGAGCTCATTTGGCAACAGTCGAATAAGAAAATGTCTTCAGGTGGAGCTCCATAACAGGCAATTTGTCTTGTGAATCATAGAACTGGCTGAGGTTTCTGGTTCAGTATCTGTAGTTCAAAGGGCGGTGATTAATTCCACTGCTTCACCTTTTTTTTTTGAAAAGCTCCTTTGTAAATCAAAAGATTGGGGCAGAAAATGTGAACTTCAGAATAATCAATCTCTCCTTGGCTACCAAAATAGGTGCGACCTTTCCCCGTTCAGTTGCACAGATGCAGATATGAATGTCTAGATCCGAGATGGCGAACCTATGGCATGCGCAGCCATTTTTAAGGGCATGCAAAGCGTTGCCCTATCAGCTCCAGCGTGCTGGCCAGCTGATATTCATCCTTAATTTTTGGCCATTTTTCGCCCTCCGGAGGCTTCCCTCCGGAGGGCAAAACTTCTGGTAACGGGAACGAACTGCCTGTTTGCGCGTTGGGCTGTTCTTCGCCCTCCAGAGTCTTCAAGGAAGTCTCCGTAGAGTGAAAAACCACCCAACGCGCAAACCGGAAGTTAGGGAACGGACTTCTGGTTTGCGTGTTGTGCTGTTTTTCACCCTCCGGAGTCTTCAAGGAAGCCTCCTGAAGCCCCCGATAGCTCTCGCGCACTTGCTTTTGGCACCCAAGGCAAAAAAGGTTCACCATCACTGGTCTAGACGCATTTTCAAATGCTACAGATCTTGATCTAAAAAAAGAAGTTTTCAGAGCCTCTTCTGGCAGACTATACTCTCTGTGCATCTTTTAATTGGACCACATTTTAACAGATAGTCCTCGATTTACAACCATGTGTTGAGTGGCTGTTTGAAGCTACAGTGGCACTGAAAAAAGTGACCTATGACCATTTTTTCACACTTAACGACCATTGCAACATCTTCATGGTCACGTGATCAAAATTCAGATGCTTGACAACTGGCTTGTATTTATGACAGTTGCCGTATCCCGGGTCATGGGATCACCTTTTGCGACCTTTTGACAAGCAGAAGCCAGATTCACTTAATATCCATGTTATTAATTTAACAACTGCAATGATTCACTTATCGCCTAACAACTGTGGCAAGAAAGGTCGTAAAATGGGGCACAACTCACTTAACAACTATTCTGATTAGCAGTGGAAATGTTGGGCTCAATTGTGGTCATAAGTCAAGGACTACCTATATTCCACTTTTTTTTTTTAACCCAAATCCAAAACTTGCCTAATATTCAAACCTTGATCTGGATTCTTGGGGGTGGGGGGTGGGGGTGCAGGAGAACAAGAGCTGTACCCTGGAGTGGAAACTGTAGAGATAATGCTTCTCCTAATAGCACAACTTGTATTTGCCCAGTATTATCTTATCGGTTGCTGCAGTGGCAGAAGAGAAGAGGGTTCAAGCTGTCCAGATCTGAAGTTGAACAGAGGCTGCTGAATGTTATGTGGTCTATTTGTGCCAAAACAAAATAAAAACTTTTGCTGGAGGATCATATGTCTTGAAGTTTTCTTTTCATTTCCATTTTAAATGCGGGAGGCTTACGTCATCTCCTTCATGGTAGTGCAGAGTGAAGGTAAATAGTTGAAAAATGAATGCAGTTAAATCATAGTAATTAACCTAAAAAATAGGTTCAGTCACCTGTTCCAATGCAGCTTCTATTTTACTTTCAACCCTGGAGCTGACTGGTTGGAACCTTGACTGAAGCTGCTTCTGTGACTTTTCATATTTCGGTGGGTATTCTATCATGTTATATTTTGTATCCATACTCTAAAAAAAGAATCTAAGAGTATATATATATATACAGTGCTTTATAGCCCTCTCTAGGTGGTTTACACAGTCAGCATATTGCCGCCAACAATCTCGGTCCTCATTTTACTGACCCCGGAAAGTTGAAAGGATGANCTACCTACCTACCTACCTACCTACCTACCTACCTACCTACCTACCTACCTACCTATATCTCATATGTTGTGCTTTGTTTTCACCAAAAACAGCACTATGCTTTATAACCAAACATCTCTAGTTTGGTTTCGTCTGTCCAAAGGAAATTGTTCCAGAAGTCTTGTGATTTGTTCAGATGCAACATTGCAAACCTAAATAGTGCTGCCATGTTCTTTTTAGAGAAAAGAGTCCTTCCCTTGGCAACCCTTCCAAACAAACAATAATGTTCAGGGTTTTTTCCCCCCCTAATTCAGAGGTGGGTTTCAGCCGGTTCTATCCGGTACATGTCTACCGGTTGAAAGAATTTAATGTGCCTTCCTGTACCGGGGCTTCCAGAGGCCTGGTACTGGAATGGTTCCTCCCCTGGCCTGCCCCCCCTGCTCACCCGCCAGCAGAAACCTTCCATGAGGTTTTGGCTGGCGGGCGCGTGGAGGGAGGGTGGGAAATCTCATGGATTCCCCACCCCATTTATTGGAAACGAGGTGGCTGTCAGAGGAGAGAGCAGCGCGCGCCCGTGGGCTTGTCCAACAAATCCTCCTGTTCCCGTGACCCGTCAAATGCACACCTGACAAAAGTGCGCCGACAAAAGCGTGCCGAGAAAAGAGTGAAGTCGAAATCACGTCCACAGAAGCACGCCAATAAATGCGCGCTGACAAAAGCGTGCTATCAACAAACCACGCGAAAACAAGGTAAAAACCCTAAGGGTTAGGTTTAGGGTTATTACCTTGTTTTTGCGTGGTTTGTTGATAGCGTGCTTTCGTCAGCGCACATTTATCGGCGCGCTTCTGTGGGTGCGATTTCGACTTAGCTCTTTTCTCAGGGCAGTTTTGTCAATGCACTTTTGTCGATCGCGCATTTGTCGGTGAACCTGTTCCTTCTTCTGCTGTTTGAACAAGCCGCGCGGGTTGTACTGCCTTGTCTTTCACATCCACTTCGTTTCCAATTGGGGCAGGGAGAAATTGATCTTTTCTGTCCCTCTCCATGGATCCCCGCCCCAATTGGAAATGAGGTAGCTGTGAAAGACAAGGCAGCGCGACCCGTGCAGTGTGTACAAATAGCAAAAGAAGGAACATGAGAGGAGTTCCACACGGCGCTTTTCAAACAGCTGAACTCTCCTGTTCCTTCTTTTGTTGCTTGTACACACCACGTGGGTTACGCTCCCTTGTCTCGGCTGCCTTTGGCTTCCGTCCGAGAGTCTCTGCTCTCCAGGGCTGTAATTGTGCAGGCTGTGTGCACGCACCTATGTTTTCCAATGCGTGGAGTGACTCCGGAGCCCAACTGCGACCCCACCCCACCCCATGGAAAACATAGGCATGCACACACAGCCTGCACAATTACACACCTGGTGAGCGGAGACATGGAGGGAAGCCAGAGGCAGCGGGGCAGTCGGGTCCTTCACCCTCAAAGGGAGGAAGGGCTAGTTGGGAGAGGGGCTTTGGTCCTGCTGCTTCTAGCGGACGGAGCTTTACTGTCCCGCGGTGAAGATTCCGGCCCTCATCCCAGAGCCTTGGTAACTTGTTCTCATTCACCCGGGCTTGTGCAGAGGTTTCACTCTCCGGGCCTGTAATTGTGTGGGGCATGTGTGCACCTATTTTTTCCATGGCGTGGGGCCACGCCCAGAAGACAAGGGACGCGGGGGGGGGGGCGTCAGTAGGGCCTCGTCCTTCTGAAGAGGACCTGTCCCCGAAGAGGCCAGATGTGGTGGCATCGGTCTTGGGATGTTATGCGGAGCCCCACAGGGAAAAACGCTGCTGCCAGGTACCCTTAACCATATATTTTGGTCCTATGACTGCACTGTAGAATGCTGCAAAAAACCATACATACAGGCCAGTTATTGAGTCTTTCAAATGTGATTGGAACACTCAACAAGGTAACCATAGTATGTCTGTGTGTGTGTGTGTGAGAGAGAGAGAGAGAGACAGACAGACAGACAGACAGACAGACAGAGGCACAGAGAGAGAGGGAGTGAGAGACAGACAGAGGGAGGGAAGAAAGATACAGAGAGACAGAGAAAGAATGAGAGAGAGACACAGGGAGGGAGAAACAAAGAGCCCCCCCCCACACAGAGAAAGACAGACACAGAGAGAGAGAGAGACAGAAGAGAAAGAAAGAAAAAGAAAGAAAAAGAAAGTGGGAGAGATGAAAAAGAAAAAGGGAGAGAGACAAAAGGAAGGAAGGAAAGAGAGAGAAAGAAAGGAAGAAAGAACTTATGACCACAATTGAGCCCAAAATTTTCGTTGCTAAGCAAGAGCGTTGTTAAATGAGTTTAACCACATTTTCCAAGTTGGCCATGCCCACCTGGTCACATGACCGCCAAGCCACTCCCACAAAACAGGCCACACCTACAGAATACATTCTAAAAAAATTTGAAACCCAACACTGTCC